GCGTGACACAAAACTGTCACAAAACTGACACAAGCGTGACACAAAACTGTCCTTCTTACCATGTTTTCGGTGAGTCGGGCTTCAGCAAACACCACAACAATGGCGTTTCCAACGGACACAGTCATAAGCCAGCCAGCCATGACACAAGATTTCATACTCACAGGGGCCTGTTGAGGAAAACAAAGAGTTGCCGGAGAATCTGATTAATGCAAAAATCAACGTGGCTGTGAGCCGCTGAACTCGGAAAACTAATTATCAAGGGGCGAGTGAGTTGGCGAGGCCACTGAACTGACTTCGTATGTTAAAAACTTCTGTATGAAGGTTGCGCATTATCTATAAGGAATAATCCCAGAAAGCAGGTTGTAATTACTATTCATGCTCTGCATACTTAGCGCAATGGATAAAGCTTGGACTCTTTAGCGATAGGTCCGAGGATCGATCCCAAACGATAGCAAGTCTTTTTTTTGTCTTTATTTCACACATTGGTGATGGAATGCTGGATGGAAGTTGTGAATTTGGAGTTATAAAAACAACTCCGAAATGGCTATCAGCCATTTACCGAGTTAAAAATTAATAAACTAATTGGCAAAACTGTGACAATTTATGACATTTCATGCAAACTAGGTGAACACTCACCTGGGAGTAAGCGAACTCCAGTCCCGTTATGGAGAAAAGAACTTCCCCCGCGGTGATGGTCACATACTGTGGAATCTGCCACAGCATAGAGATTGAATTGGCTCTGACGTCCGCAAACTTCTTGATGGTCAGCTGAAACAACAAAAATCTCCAATCAAATGTGCTTTTAATACTAAATTCCCCTCTAACTTCTGTGATGGCCCGAAGAATACGCAACATCGGGATGCGACGGAAGTGACCCGACTTTAGGTCTGTAGTTGCTGCTTCCCATTCCTTTAAGATAACCTGTATCTTCGCGATATAAAAACGGTGACTCATTTTATAAAAAAAAAAAATAAATAAATAAATAAAGCTGTAACTTAAGAAAGATCCGATCCTCAAGACTTCTGGATTCCGAAAAAAGAGTGTATCACTCAACACGTCCGAGATAATTGTGGTAACGAGAGTAAAATATTGAATTGTTCACCTGGAACCACATAAAAAGTCCGCAATATCGTTACAGTGGGGTAGAGCTATTTATGGACACTTGGTGATTGTCTTGGCAAGGGGATTAAGCTCCTGTCTTCCAGTGTTCCAAGTGTGGAAGGCAGGAGTATATGGTATTATCAAATTAACGTGACTGAAATCATCCATTACTTTACACTGTAAATGAGTCTCATTTACAGAGGCCGTCACTAAAAGTTAACGATAAAGACAGCGCTCAACAAAGGAAAGAATTCGACATTGAGATCCTCTAGAAGTTCCTAGAAAAACTGAAAGTGAATGTTTCTTATTTCTGATTTCAGTTTATATTACTCGGTGAATAAGAAACTCAACCTGATCATTCTTCTTAGGATCTGGTTGTATAATTGCCGTGTATACGCCGCCATCACCAAAGTACACCTTTTGGCTTAAAAGTTTATCGTCTGTTCCAGCGGACATAACCTTGATCGGATACCTGAAAGAAAGAGGAATCTGAATCAAGCAGAATATAATATCGTCGAGCCACAAACTTGCAATATTTGGCGCGAGAGAGATCTTCGAGGAGGGCAAAACTGTCTTTATGCAAGGTCCGGTAATACACGGACGATTTTTGTCTTTCCCCAGTCCCTCTTCCAACAAAAGTGAAGGAGTTTTTTAAATCATGTTTTGACCCCAATTGGCAGAAAAGTCTTATTCTGATTGGCCAATTTTCCGTTGTCGATAAGAATACAGACAACGCCGCTCTCGTCAACGTGTTGCGCAACGCGTCACGCATTGTAAGAATCGTTTTAAATGACGTCAATATTGTTGTAAAAAAATCGACAGTGGTTTAGCGTGGTCTGTGCTCTTCTCGACAAAGATGTTCGTCATCACAGTGGTCAAAAATTTATTCCGACCTCTGTGATGACGAATATCGTTGTCGATAAGATATTTAACAATTATTCCACGAGCGCGCGTTGGATATGAGATGATAGATAGCCAACGAGGCGCGTAGCGCCGAGTTGGCTATAATCATCTCATATCCAACAAGCGCGAGTGGAATAATTGTTTTATTAAAAACGCCCCCAAGAAATTATTATTTTGTAAGAAGAAAGGGGATTTTTTAGCTCCCTTTTGATTTTAAGCTGACGCGTACGCTTACCATATTTGTAGATTATGGTATATTGGCTCATATACCATAATGGCTAAGCCAATAAAAAGTCTTGAATTGCATTATCCAATGATCCAGTTTTTAATAAAACAGATTAGTCGATAACAGACCACGCTTCTGTTAATGGAGCGAGAGGGGGCAGGAAGATGAGAGACCCTGGGAACGAGATTGGACTCTACCTTGCTTAAACGTCATAAAGAAAGCTCCCTTAGCATCACAAAGAAACTAAATTTTCATCTATGCTTAGATATCATCAACCCCGAGAGGTTTTACTTTAGATTTCGATTCATTATTTTCCACATCGAAATCTCTTCTTCATTCTTACTTGTTGAAAGATTTAATAACATGAGAAGTAACCTCTTTCCAGGGTCTGTAGAAGAGAAGAGAGCACTGGGAAAGAAGTAACCTGGGGAGCAAGAAACTGGTACGAGACTTACTTCTTTGATAAGAGTTCCTTGTAGTCGGTGTTGTTGAAGCTTCCAATATCTCTGTACGTTAAAGTTTTGTTCAGTTTTATATCCACAGTCGGTGCTACATCTCCTCCAGCGTAAACGAATCTGTGAAAGTAAAATAAGGTTATGTCTCCGAAAGCGTCTTGGAAATCCTCTTTCGCAGGGAGACTTAGTCATTGTCATACAAATGCAGTAACTCCAAACGAAGGATCTTTAATATTTTTTTCCGTTTGAATTTATGGCCCAAGCATAAAATAAAGAGGGGGGAAGACTACATTTTTAACAAACTTTTGAATTTAACCAGACAAACAGGGAAATACGGTCCGCTGAATTAACTAATCATAGCACACGTACTAAACCTAAGATATGTAATAATGCTATTATTTCTGAAAAAGTTCATTACATCTTTAAGGGTCACGGTGCTACCGAAATAGAGTTTTACTCCAGAACAAATCTTAATGAGTCTCTAATGGTATCGTTAATTTAGTTACGTTATGATCAATTAATTGTTGGTCGAACTCTTGGTGCTAGTTTAACATCCATAGGAAGTTCATTTCTAGTAGCAAATCACCGCATAACGAGATTTTAAGTCATAAGTTCAGTAACATGATAGAATGCGGTATTAAGGGGTCTATAAAGAGGACGAGAATTTGACAATTGTAAGACTGGTACCGAGTATTGTAGTGGTGGTTACCAGGCTAGGTGCGGTAGCCAAGTGAACACAGCGGTCAAACACCGCGCATGCACGAAGTATGAAGTGTGCCAAGTGTAAAGTGTGCCAAGTGTGATTTTCTTCGAACTGTTGCGTGGTTGCTCGTGGCGGTTTCGTCCGTAGTAAAGCCGTTTCTTTTTGGAGGTTTGGTCTTTCGTTCTTTTACACACTTCACTACACTTAATCGCATACCTGACTTTTGTGACACTTCCTTTTAATGGCTCGAGAATATCCTCAATCTGAAAAAAAAAATCGTGTAACCATCAGAGTAATATTCTGAGCATCATTTTAGTGCTTTATTACACGACTCGGGCAGTCAGAGGGCCAATAACTAAAATCAACCAATCAAAATGCTCTATTGCCGGTCAATATTCTCTCAGTATTGGACCTGGCACTTTCCCGAATGGTCCCGAATGATACCGCACTTGTGTCCCTTTGAACTTCAGTCGTATAATAAATCTCTTATTAACCAAGCTTGCACGGGACCGTACTGGAAGAATATCGGCCCTCGGTCTTTTTTGCACGGACCTAGCTGCGCTCGGTCCGTACTGTCAAAACCTCGGGCCGATATTCTCCCCGTATGGCCCTCGCGCTTGATTAATAAGATATATATATATTTGTAGTTTCTAACGATTCTTACAGGAGTTTCCTAACACTCGCTCTCGTATGTTTATAATCCGGGCTGGAAAGAAGCAATACTGATTTGATTTGGTGAAGTCTCTACAAACAGGACAACACAAAAACCCTCGACTTTATCAACGAAATACAGACCTTTCGATTTGATGTCCAGCAAATTACCAGTTTTTCCAACTTCCATCTTATCAAGTGGGTAATCTCATGTACCCCGCGTCAGGCAGAATAACAAAGGCAACAACTTTTCCCTTTGCGGAAGTTATAGCGGGTGTCTTACTTTAACTTAATCTTTGCGTTACAGTTGCGGAGGATAGTTCAAAGACGCTTTTATGACGCTTTCATAAATTGATCCAGGCAACATCATACTTTTTTAAGTGTACCTGCTCTCCGATCAGGGCATTCTTTTCAATTCCAACAACAAACGTGGACGCATCTTTTTCTTTGATCTTCACAGGGAATGACTTAGTGAGTTCGGTGGGACATCCAACCGTTTTGACGTTTATTGTGTCCAACGTAACTGGGACGTGAGCATAATCCGAAGCCTGGAAACGAAAATAGAAGAGGTTAGGGTTCAAATCTAAGACTGATTGACTAACTGATCGACTGACTAGCTGACTGACTGGACAAATTACCGGGCGAAGGACCGAACGAACGAATACACAGACAGACAACGGAGCGAATTGATGAACGACTGACGGACAACCAAACGAATTGACGAACGAACGAACGATTAATCGGTCGGACGACCGAACGGCGACTCGAACACCCAGTCGAACAACGCACAGCACGTGACTAAATAATACTATAACGGGGATGATGAAGAGAAAACTGTAGTTGGAAATATCATATTCACAAAAAACTTAAAGACAATTTCAACATCAACGTAATTATCGTATGTCCATACCTGCATCAAAGGCACATCTGCGTTTAAGCCGACACCGAACGCGCTTATTTCACAAACTCCGGCATTAATGACACGAAGATTGGCGAAACCTGCGGGTGGAATGTCCGCTGCGACTCGACCTCGCTGTAAAACAAGACAAAAACAATATGACCTATATTTTAATTTGATCTCTTTGAAGAAAAAAAGTTACAAAACATTTTTAACATTACTCAAAACGGAGTTTGGCTGGTTTCAAACGATACAAAGACATTCCCAACAATTACCTCGTTCGAGCAACTGAAGGTCGTACAACCAAAACCACAGTAAACACAATAGCCAATCAGGACAGAGGAAAATCTTACAGATAGCCAATCAGAATTGTACAAACCATAAATTGCCTTCTACGCGGGAAAACGCGGGTGACTAAATTGCGCGGAAAAATCGCGCGGGAAAACGCTGATGACCAAATCGCGACTGGTTGAGTTTTAAATCTGATTGGTTGAGACAATGACGCGGGTTTTACTAAGCCAATCACACGGCGCAGTTCAGCAAAAAACCAACGCAGCCCTGGACTACCTTCCATGTTCACTAGAAAATTGAAAAATCTAAGTTACCTGTATAGCAATTTGGATGAAGGCTGCCATGACAAATGAACATGCTGCCAGCAGCATTCCAGCGCACATACGTTGTAAGGGCCTGTTAAAAAAAGAAGGGAACATGGTACCTGAAGCAGGTATTGACCAAGCACACTTCTCACCGATGTTGAGTCAAACAAATATATAACGTAAAAAAAAAGGGGCATACTCGTACCTTACAAGAAGATTGCATTTTCTCAAAAGAGGATAAACAATGTTTTCAAAAATGGGAATCATGATCAGAATAAACACTGGATTGAGCGCCTGTTGAAATAGAACAACGTAATGTTAACAAATGGGCATTATCTTCACGGTATCAACCTTATTGTAGCAAAACCCGTTGAACAAAGCAAGACACCGCCCTCTCTATTGGTTTACCAGCGTAATAGCCCACGAAGGATGTTGTGAGAACGCTAGAATAGTTCGTAATTACTCGCCTTTGGCTCGTGTACGTGGTTTACCGCACAACAGTCCAGCGCTGTAACCAACTGAGCTAACCGGGAGGTGGTTAGTGCACTGATGTCCACAGATGTTAGGGTGAAAAGGGTTAATGTACATGTGATCAAAATGGTCAAAATGAAAACAAACCTGCACTTGATCGGGTTTTAAGGTTCCAAATTTTCCCTGTAAAAACACAATAAAATAAATATTAAGATATTACGAAGAAAGCAGTGATATCAATGATGTATTCTTGGTGAAATAGCCCTTCGAAGAAGGGCTAATGCTCGAAACGTCAGCTTTTATAACCGTAACGGTGGCCAATTTACCATTTCAACTTTGTAGATACATTCAAATTATTTCGTTACCCCCACCGACGCAGCCCCTAACAGTTTCTTTAGAAACTATCAGCCTTTATTCTTGGTGAAGTAATACACTGGGGGAAACTATTTTTACTAGTATGAAAGTGTTGAAACAAGCTGGATATCTCAGGTCTATATTAATGTGTAATGTATGGTGCACCATCTTTAGGCTGAAGTCTGACTGACTCAGCGAAATATATGTATCTTATTAGACGTTTGTTGCGTAGTATCGCTGAGTATTTTTACGAGTTGTGCCGTATTTTGACGA